TTAGTTCTTCGGCTGACCACAACTCTGCCCAAACTTGAGAAATGGCTTGCTCATCTCAGGAACGCAAAGGACAACTCAATTCTTTTGATTTTTTATTTTCTTCCAGATGGGGAGATGGAATAATAGAACAGAATCCATTGAATCGAACGGAATAGGTTGAAAACCTTAAAGATAATGAAAAGATATGCATTAGTTTAGATTGCATGTTCTCAAATACAAATACAAACTGAAAAGGCTACAAAGGACATAACTTGGTTTGTCCTACGAGTTGCGTCTGTAATGATGAACATGAGCTGTGGCTGGCCTATTGTTCTTCAGCAGCAGCAGCAGCAGGTGAAAGAGTGACTTGAGCTCCTTCCCAAACATTTATAATTTCCCCTTCCTTGCTTCCTGTGAAGCACTTCCTGTGCACACGGGTGCACCAAATTGTGTGGTTTCCCCCTGCAGGCTTGGAGTGCATGCTGGGGAACCTGCCTGTGCATTTTGTGACTGGTTTTGACACAACAGTCACTCTCTCCGAGGGTGAGCTGTTTCAGGAGACAATTAGAAAATTAACACCTCCGCCCTTTGGGCGCAATCAGAGCCTACAAATACAGCTGCGCGATCACCTGCCCAATCTCTTTTCTCCAACTGAGGCCAAACCTTGGTTACCTTCTGTAACCATCCGTTCTATTTCATATCAGGTCAGCACGCCACCGTATGGGTCAACAGTATAGCAAATAAGGTCAGGCAGGAGGTGCAGTGAGGCTGAAAGACACTCAGGACAACCGTTCACTGATCATAATACATTTTATTGAAGAAATGATAAACAAATAAAGCCATGGGGCACAACAGCCAAAGACCAACAAAGGTCACCTGCTGCAAAAGAAAATACTGGCCAGCTCTTCTGTTCCTTTTCTGCGGAGGTTATTTGAGAAGATGGCGCCAGTGTGCGTGGCCTGCCGTCTGTCTCTGCCAGCGTTATGTGTGTTTGTGCTCTATCTGTCACTTGTCAGTCTAAATGTCTACTCGCTACTGGTGTATGATCGCCAAACACTGTTGGACATTCAAGTTTCTGCCAAAGATCTGGTGGGGTCTGATCATGGTGGACAAAAGTCTTTGCCCCCTTTCCTATCGGAGATCCCAGCTCACCTCTGCCATGCCCCGGCTCTATCCCTCCGGCGTAAACGCCAGCGCCGCCGGGGTAAACGCAGCGGTCGACTGGTAAGGCTGAAGGCCTATTTATCGCGCACTTCCAAGGTTTCTTGGACTAAGTATGGAGCAGTGCCTCGGCTTGTTATTTCTCGACGATTGCTGGACCCTGTTGACGCCTGGCTGGTACCTGTCGTCAGCCCGGATGAGATGCTCCAGCCCCGCGGCCCCTGCTTTCCTCGGCCTCGCTGGCACGGGGTGAATTTGTGCAAACTACGGCCTTTGTGTCGGGCCCCTCGGACGGTTACTACTGTGGATCCGCCAACTCCTGCCAGGTTTGGGCTCGTCGATGCTAGGTCGCTAGCGAACAAAACTTTCATCCTGAAGGATTTCTTACTTCCCGAGGACTGGATTTTCTCTGTGTGACTGAGACGTGGCTAGCTGTTGGTGAGTCCAGCGCCCTCACAGAACTTTTACCTGGTGATTGCTGCTATTTTAACTCCCCCCGGACCTCGGGCCGAGGAGGAGGAATAGCAACTATTTATAAAAGGTATTATAAATGTAAGCAACTGTCTCTGTCATCCTCCTTCACCAGCTTTGAGCTGAGTTTATTTGAGCTGGCTCGCCCTCACACACTGTTGTGTGCAGTGGTCTACAGACCTCCCAAATACAATAAGGACTTCATAAGTGACTTTTCTGATTTCCTGGCTGAAATTATGCCCAAGTATGACCGTGTCCTTATTGTTGGGGATTTTAATGTTCATGTGTGTTGTCCTGATAAGCCTATGGTAAAGAACTTTCTTAACCTCACTGACTCTTTTAATCTAGTACAGTCTGTTTCCGGTCCCACACAAGAATGCGGACACACACTCGATCTCGTTTTATCATATGGTTTGTCTGTTTTTAACTTGGAGATCTGTGACGCATTGTTTTCGGACCATATGCCTGTACTGTTTTTTACTTTTTTATTGACAAGGTTGCTGGCACTAGGGCTCTAATCTCACCGTCTGCATATGACCCTTCAGTCTCTGTCCCCTGCTCAGCTGTCCTTGATAGGTTTGAGTCTGTGACTCTGTCAGATTTACAGGACACTGTTGGTCTTTTAAAGCCCTCAGGCTCTCCTTTATGATGCTGTCCCCTCTCGACTATTTAAAGAGGTTTTTCCTACTGTGGGTCCATCTGTGCTTGCAGTTATTACCAGCAGTTTGTCCTCAGGTGTTGTCCCTAAAAACTTTAAACATGCAGTAGTGCAACCTTTAATTAAAAAAACAGGTCTAGATTCTGCAGTTCTGGCAAATTATAGGCCTATTTCCAAACTGCCCTTCCTTTCAAAACTCCTCGAAAAGACAGTCTACAATCAATTAATGTCCTTTCTGGAGGAGCACAATATTCTTGAGGTCTTCCAATCTGGTTTTAAATCACTGCACAGCACAGAATCGGCACTTTTAAGAGTTTTTAATGATATTCTTTTAACTTGTGATTCCGGTGAATGTGCTGTTCTTGTACTTTTAGACCTAACTGCTGCATTTGACACTGTAAACCATGACATTTTAATTTCACGTTTGGAGCAGTGGGTGGGCATCAGTGGCATAGCACTGGGGTGGTTCAGGTCATACTTGGCAGATCGAACTTTCTGTGTGGGCCTTGGTGACTCTGTATCCTCCTCTGCTCCTCTGTCATGTGGTGTCCCGCAGGGCTCAGTCCTAGGCCCTCTTCTCTTTTCTTTGTACCTGCTCCCGCTTGGTTCCATACTTAGGAAGCATGGTATTTTATTTCATTGTTATGCAGATGACACTCAGGTCTATATGCCTCTTAAAAAGAATCAAGCATTCTCTGTCACACCCTTACTTGAATGCCTTGCCGACATAAAGGCCTGGATGGCTCTAAATTTTTTTAAATTTTAACGAAAAAAAGACAGAAGTGATTGTTTTTGGTGGCAGCTCCGAGACCCTCTGTCTAGATCTAGGTTCCTTGGCTCAATACCTAAAATCCAACGTCACTAACTTGGGAGTTAAGGTCAACTCTGACCTCAGACTTGACAATCAGATCAAGACAGTTGTGAAGGCAAGTTTTTACCAGTTGAGGCAGCTGGCCAAAATAAAGCCAATTCTTTCAAAGCAGCACTTTGAGACAGTAATCCACGCCTTTGTCACCACATGGCTGGATTACTGCAATGCACTTTATGTGGGGGTTAGTGGGTCCTCCATCAACCGTCTCCAGATGGTACAAAATGCTGCTGCACGTCTTTTAACTGGCACACGCAAATATGGCCACATTTCCCCCATTTTAGCCTCACTTCACTGGTTGCCCATACATTTTAGGATTCATTTTAAAATTCTTTTATGTGCTTTTAAATCTCTCAATGGTCTCGCCCCTCCCTACCTCTCTGAATTGCTGCACCCATATTCTCCCACCCGCTCTCTCAGGTCAGCTGATCAGCTGCTCCTGAGGGTGCCAAAAACAAAGTGCAAGCTCAGAGGGGACCGTGCTTTCACTGTGGCAGCCCCTAAAATGTGGAATGATCTGTCTCTGCACATTAAACAGGCGTCTTCCTTGTCTGTTTTTAAATCCCTTCTTAAGACCCATCTCTTTTCCATGGCCTTTGACACCCTGTAAGATGTGATTTTATTTTTTGTTTTCTCTTATTATATATCTGTTTTTATTGATGTTTTATGTCTTTTAATTTATCTTGTGTTTATAATTTTATCATGTACAGCACTTTGGTACCTTCTGGTTGTTTTTTAAAGTGCTTTATAAATAAAGCTAGATTGGATTGGATTGGACAGAAGAAGGCCTACAATAACAAAACCACCGGGTGAACACCAACCCTGAAGCCATGTCTCAGCATGGTAGGGACCACATGCCTCACTGTCCTGCTTGCAGGACGGCAGAGGCTACTGACAAACCAACATTTAGTCTGTAAAAACTTGAAAAGGTCCCAGAAGAGGCCCAACCGGCCGCCGCACAGACATCCTCCAAGGGAGCCCCCTTGAAGAGCAACCAAGAGGTGGACATGCCTCTGGTGGAGTGGGCCACCACCCCCCTGGGCAGAGGGACTCCAGCACTGTCATAGGCCCGAGCTATGGCCTGGACCACCCAGCGGGCTAACCGCTGCTTGGACAGTGCGTGGTCTAGCTTGGTGCCCCCATAGCAGACGAAAAGCTGGTCAGCCTGTCTAATTGGGGCCGTACGGGCGATGTACACCCTTAGGGACTGCACTGGACAGAGCAAATGTAACCGAGCCGCTTCCACGGAGTCATGTGGTGGAGGGTGAAAGGGCTCCAGAACCAAGGGCCGCACCACGAAAGACCGAGGGAGTACCTTAGGTAAGAAGGCTGGATTAGGCAGGATAGAGATGACAGAGCCCTCCTCCCCCAACCTCAAACAGGATGGATGCACGGACAGGGCATGCAGTTCAGAGACCCGCTTCGCTGAAGACATGGCAAGAAGAAAAGCCGTCTTGAGGGAAAGGAGCTCCAGCCCCAAACTGGACAAAGGCTCAAAAGGAGACTCTGACAGAGCCCGCAACACCAGCTGCAAATCCCATGACGGGACCATGGGGGACCGTGATGGCCTGATATGCCTAGCCCCTTTCAAAAACTGGCCAATAAGGGATTGCGCGCCCAACGTCCTACCCTCAATAGGGATGTGGCGAACAGATATGGCGGCCACATAGCCCCTCAAGGTGGACTCAGTCAGCCTTCTCTCTAACAGGGACTGCAAAAACAAGAGGACCCCCTGTGCCCCACAAGAGACTGGGCTCCGGCCTGTCTCTGCACACCACTGGCAAAACCGCTCCCATCGGCCAGCATAAAGCGCTCTGGTAGAGGGAGCCCTAGCTGCCTGTAGGGTAGCCATAATGGCAGGACTCAAGCTGCAGGGTGGCTCCTGTCCAAGGGCCAGGCATGTAACCTGTAAACTCCCGGATTCCGGTGCCAGAGTTCTCCCCAAGCCTGTGACAGCATGTCTGGCCTGACTGGGAGGCACCAAGGGGTCCCTGCCAACAGCCTCTGCAAGGTCGCCATCCACGGCTGATGTGGCCAGTTCGGGGCCACAAGCAGAACCCTGGCCTCCATCATCTCTACCCTGGCCAATACCACTGGTATGAGTGGAAAGGGGGGAAAAGCATACAGCAGGCCCTGGGGCCACTGATGTGAAATAGTGTCCACCCCCAAAGTCCCCACCGGACCCGCTATGGAGTACCACAGCGGGCAATGAGTGGTCTCCTGTGTGGCAAAGAGGTCTACCTGGGCCTCCCCGAACCGAGCCCAAATGGCCTTCACAACCTGTGGGTGAAGTCGCCACTCCCCTGGCTGGGGGCCACCCCTGGACAGGAGATCTGCTGCCACATTCGCCACTCCTGGCAAGTAAATGGCTTTCAGGGACACACCCTGAGCATGAGCCCAGAGGAGGATTTTGTGCGTCCAGTCGTGCAGGGACCTTGACCGCAGCCCCCCTTGGTGGTTGATGTAAGCGACCACGGTTGAATTGTTGGTGCGGACCAACACATGCTTCCCCCGAATTACCAGAAGGAAATGCACCAAGGCCCAATACACTGCCTCCAAAGGGGACCCCAACAGCCGCGGGCTGGGTGGTTCCTATATAGGGCTCCCCAGCCTGCCTCTGAGGCGTCCGTAGTTATGGTCACCCTTGAACACACTGGACCCAACGGAACACCTTCCCTGAGGCCCAGGGCAGTGGTCCACCATGCCACTGCCGGAAGACAAGTCGAGGACACCGGGATAGCCCTCAGGCCATCCTCGTGGGGGCTCACTCTGTGCCTGGCAAGCCAACGCTGCAGAGGCCGCATGTGAAGCAACCCTAGGGGCACCACCTGGGATGCTGCTGCCATGAGGCCCAACAGCCTTCAGGTACACTTCACTGTAATGTGCTTGCCCACAGTTAACTGCGACAAGCTCTCCATCAGCACCACTGTTCTCTTCTGGGTCAGGACAGCTCTGAGCAAGGCCGAATCCAGAACCAAACCTAAATATTCCACCCGCTGGGATGGAATAAGGCAACCATTCTCCCTGTTTACAGCCAGCCCCAGGTTTTCGAGGTGGCTCAACACTGTCATGGTGTCGAGCTGAGCCTGATGTTCGGTTGGGGAGCAAATCAACCAGTCGTCCAGGTAATTCAAGATATGAATCCCCTGGCGACGCAGAGGGGCCAGCGCTGCCTCCATGCACTTTGTGAAGGTGCGAGGAGACAAGGACAGGCCGAATGGGAGGACGTTGTACTCGTAGGCGTTGCCTTGAAAGAAAAAACGGAGGTACTTCCTGTGGCCCCTGTGTATGGGAATGTGGAAGTACGCGTCGTGCAGGTCCACTGCAGTGAACCAGTCCCCGCGCCTTACAGATGATAGAAGGCGTGACAGACGAAGCATATGGAAGGGCAGGCGTTTCAGGAAGTAATTGAACTCCTTCAGGTTCAAGATAGGACACAGGCTGCTGTCCTTCTTTGGAACCAGGAAATAGGTTGAATAAAAACCTTTGTGCGCCTCGCCGCTGGGGACGGGTGTTATTGCCCCCTTCTGTAGAAGGGCCGCGACCTCTGTCACGCGGGATTGACAACCTGTCCTGTCGTGCAGGAAAGTAGGAACGATTCCCAAAAATGGAGGTGGTCTGGTTCTGAACTGGAGTCTGTACCCTGACTCCAGCGTATTTAGCACCCAAGGGCACTGAGTACACTGGCGCCAGTGAGCAAGGTGCTGAGGAGTGAAGTGTGAGGCCGGAGGCTGGCATCCGTCAGCGACGATCCGACCACCAGCTGACTGAGGCCTGGTGCCCCCAAGGTGAGCAGTTCCACTGCAGACATCATGAAAGGAACGTCGGCGAGCCAGATTGCCCCTCGCCGGGAAATCGGAAGCGTGAGGGTGGTTCATCCCTCACAGAGAGCGTCAGCTCCCTCGTCCTACGGGACTGTTCCAAGGCCGCCTCACAGGGCGGACCAAAGACCTCTCCAGGCACCACTGGAGCCGCCAGCACAGCAATGCAGTCCTGGTCGGACAGATTAGACTGCGACAGCCAGACTTGGCGCCGTGCCTGGACCATGGAGGCCATCGACTGACCAAGGGCTTTGGCATGTGCACTGGTACCCTCGCAATAACATGTCTGCCATACGGAGCATCTCGGCCATCTCATCACTTGGGGCTGCTGAAGCCAAATTCTGCAGCAGGCCTTCCAAATAAAGCAGCAACAAGTGCACGCCAACCTGGCCGCCAGAGCTGAGGCATGATAAGCTCTGCAGAGCTGGTTATCAGTCGTCCTGCAGCGTCTGTTAGGGTGAGTGGCATCCCTGCAGCCCTTGCCACAGCGGCTGCTAACAATAGCAAAGGTGGGGCCCACTCGGGGCGCTGTGGCCACCCCATGAGCATCCGCCCCTGTAAGGTTGGCCAGCTGGGATCTCGGAAGGGCTGTAGAGCTAGGAGCGCTCCATGATGCCTGCAGCTCTGACATAAAGTCAGGAAGGACAGGGAGCCCGTCTGACCTGCGCCACCGTGAGCCCCTGTCGAACACTGAAGTAGCTGGAAGCGGAGCTTGGCAGGACAGCTGTGCGCGTGCTGCCACCCTCGCAATCACAGCTCTATCAGAAGGGTCCAACTGCTCAGGCACAGAAGCATCCCCCAAGTCAGAGAGCGACTGATCATCCTCCTCGGACTGGGGGTCGTGCAGACCTTCCAAACTGTCAGAGGCTGCAATAGAGAGCACATCTGGATCCCTATCCCCGTCCCCAGGATCTGGCCTGGTCATGGTATGCAGCCCTAAAGGATGCTGTGCATGCACCAGCTGCTGTAGCTGCTCAAGCTCCGCCGGGTGCTTCCTCTTCCGTGCGCGCCACCTCCCTTCCTCAAGCGGCGGATCACACACCACCTGCGGCTCCAGCTCAGCCAGCTGATGGGCCTGGCCCAGGGCAAGGGATGGAGAGCAAAAACCCTCGCCGTCCTGTGACATGGTTTGGCAAGCCAAGACCGCCCAGCGGACGCAAGATGAAACAAGGGAATGAAACAAAGCCTCAGGTAGCGTACGACCTTCCGGACGCAGCGGCCCCTCTCAGCTGGAACACGGATAAGTCACCTTACCTTCGTTTTCTTTTCGTTTTTACAACAGTACAGCTGTGAGGAAGCGTTCTCCCTCCCGGGAAAAGAGGCTCCCCGCAGTGCCAAACAAAGATCCAAAATCCAAAAAAAACATCCGCGCACTCTTCTTCTCTTTACCACAAGCAATAAGCAGTTTCTGTAAGAAGAAGGCAGATAAACCAATCTCCCAAAATCACACAATATCTCGTCTCAATCTGAAAACCATACTCACACACCCCACTCCAGGAGGAGAAAAAGAGACTGGGCAGGTGATCGCGCAGCTGTATTTGTAGGCTCTGATTGCGCCCAAAGGGCGGAGGTGTTAATTTTCTAATTGTCTCCTGAAACAGCTCACCCTCGGAGAGAGTGACCCATACGGTGGCGTGTTGACCTGATATTAAATAGAACGTGTCTCACAGTCTCGTGGAAAAAAAAGAAAACAAAACTTTGTTTACAGTTGTTGGAGTCGTGTAAAATTAAGATAATACTGTGAATTGATTTGCTGTATGTTTATTATTGATTTTTCCATGCTCTCCGCAACAAACCCGCTGTGTTTGTTGTGTATTGTCGCTGAGAGAATCGAGTAGCATGGAGCTAGCAGTATTAGCTTGACACAATGCTGTTTTCTTCTGTAGAGACTGATGTTCCCATGAGAGCGGAGAAAAGCGTTACTTACCATTGCCCTTCCTGTCATACATGCAGGTATGTGTGAGAATGTTAAAAGACAGCAGATGTGTGTCATTATGTTGGTTAAAAAATATTTCATGTTTATTTCATGCCAGCTACTGGTATGTTGAGTATAAAAAAATGTAAAAAGGTAATAGCTAAAAGATGTATAGCATGTATTTTTACATTTGCATTTCATACACATTCACTCTTTTATTCATATTTACATTTCATATATTGCACATTCACTTTTTATTTTATTCACAGATATTACTGTATAAAAATCCACTATACGATCACCCTAAAAGTATTGTATTTCATTTTATTTTATTTGTATCACAGCTCCATCTTATTTGTGATGTGAACAAGAGAGACTGATGTGCCCATGAGAGAGGAGAAAAGCGTTACTTACCATTGCCCTTCCTGTCATACATGCAGACAATAAACTGGCTGTTACCACGACCAGCAGCTTCAAGTGATTATTTACTGAGAAGACACACCAAAGACGGGTTACATCAGCAGGTAGCCACCTCAACACAGTCCGGCAGAGAGCAAGAGATAAAAAAACCAACAATGACACGTACACCCTGACGGCGTCTGATTGGTTAAGTTACATCATGTGAACCCCTCATGTCACCTGAATCTTGTACACTTTGAGAAAGGCACATTCACCACACTTTGAAATGAAATAAAAAACCCTTTTTGACAGATATAAATGAAATTTGTGTACATTAATATTTTTTCCTATTTATTAACATATTTAAGATTTTAAATCATTTATCCTATTTATTCATCTGCCACATAAAAATATGAATTTATTTATTTCACTAATAAACTGGTAACTGGACTTCTAATAAGGGCCTAGTAACCTGGGTTACAATAACATCAATGCCCTCCACTGGTAACGCCGGTCTAACACCCATAGGCACCTCCTATCGCTGCCACCATAAAATAAAACATTTGTTAATTGGCTTGTGTGTGTGCATCTCCCTCTTTTGTCATGGCTGTGCGGCCCGGTTTGTGACAAGTGGGGGCTCGTCCAGCCAAATTTGATTTGTTTGTGGCTTTGGTTTGAAGTTTTGATTGATGTAGGTTTTTGTTTGAAGGTGCACATGTTTTGGCTGAGATGTATGGTGATGGGTACATCCGGCACAAGTTGCTGTTTCAGTCTGGGGAGTTCAGTCCAGGCATGCAGGTGGGAACTATGACCAGTGATTGTTTGGGCCACTAGTGGGATAACTTGTGGTTTTTATGGAGTTTCCCTTGATAGGCATAGCAATGTGGTTTATTTGGGCCCATTGGTTTGTTTTTTTGGTTTGTTATTTTTGTGTGGCATGTGGTCAGAGCAGTTGTCTCGGGAACACATCCAGAGCTATCAGGTGAGTAACCAGCTTGCCGGGGGCCTAACCGGGCTACTGATTTGTGTGTATAAATCTCCAATTGCTAAAGTGACTAGGGTTCAGAGACACTATCATTGTCTCTTTTAATGCACTAGTTGACATGGGCAACACTGGTTGATAGTTCTGTTGTGTTTTTTTCTTCCTGCTGGGCCTTTAAATGTAGTGTATGATAGCTATGATAGCAGGTGATTATGCAGATTACAGATTACAGATTACGCATGCCATTAGTAGTTTAAATTCTTCTAGATTTATTGCCTGTTTTTTTAAAAATAAAACATTTGTTAATTGGCTTGTCCGTGTACATATACCTCTTTTGTCATGGCCATGCGGCCCGGTTTGTGACACTGTGTTAAAGTGTTAAATGAGTAGGATGAAATTATAGGTGTGTGTGTATGTATGTATATAATGATTACTGTGTATGTTGATTTAATGAGGACTAACAAAGGGAGCTACATAAATAAGTGTAATTTTAGTACTTATCATTCACAATGTGAAGTGTCTATAGGATGTATATTTAACTCTCTTTTTGGCCTACCCTGAAATTTCATTAAATGAGTGAACAAGGGGCTGGTCTCAGACACCGACTCCTGATTACTCCATTTTGCCTCCAAACCTCAAACAAACCACATCTGATTTCAGTTGGTAACAGTCTCAACATCTGGCTGAGATCACCTGACAGAAATCCAGTGACCTTGTTCACACGAGCCTAAGTGAACTGTTTGGTTCACTGGTGTGAAAAGTGTCAGATGAGGCAGTAAATCAGACTGAGATGAAGTGAACAGGTACAAACCACAATCATAAGATTTATGATTTAGGAAGTGATCTTGTAATTGTATTTCTGCAAGATCATTTGGTAACCTTGGTAACACACATGCATGTTAGCATATGAGTGCAGGGACCAATCAGAAAATGTAAAGCAATTAAAACAGAGGTGTGTTGTAGTTGGTTCTTGTAGCAACACATTATTAAAGAGAGTAGTTTATCTTTATTTTCACACCTGTTTAGTCCAAATGAATCAGACTGTGGTTTGTTTCCCCCCAGTACAGACAACTATAAGGTGTATACTGCAAGTTTTACCTACAAGACAGGAGCACAGATGAGTGATGGATGGATGGAAGATTAGAGCTTTTACCTGGACTAGCAATGTTTCTTTCTTCATATCTGGTCAAATGGGACCTTCTTAGTTCTCTGTGTGCGGTGGACAAACTCATGTGGCTTTCGGTGATGCTTTGTGGTTTTCTTGAACTTTTTCCTGGATGACAAGAAACTGAAGCAATGGGAAAACTGACTCAGACCAGAGCAAACAGACCATAGGACGATAAGGTCCAGTTGCAGTCTCAAATAATGATGCTCATAATCCTAACAATCAGTTATTTTTCATGACGACTTTGTGATGATACACAAGATAAAACAAAAATCAATAAATTAGTTACTTGTGACTTAATGTTTTGTTAATGTTAGCTAACTCAACAATATTCCAACAAATTTACTTGTTGTCTCAACACGCACAATAAATAAAACACACACTCTGTAACATCTGCCTCTAGGGGTCTCTCAATCAAAACGGTAAAAGACGGAGTTGGATGAGGTTGTGAAGTAGCATGGGATCATGGAAGTTGCTGTGTCTTCAACACCTTTGCTGTCAGCATCTCCTGTTTGGATTCCTTCTGTGTCAGTGGTTCTGGAGGTTTTTTACCTGGAAATGAATTATTCACAGAGATCTCCTCCTCTCCACAACAAACAGACCAGGTGCCAGTTTTACAAATATATTTTAGACTGGTTTATAGTTTTGGTCAAGTCATAATTTTGATCATAAATTAGTCTAAGGCAAGAAAGACTGTAATACTGCGTGAGAAAATTGACTGTGTTGGGACTCATCATTCAAGAGAGCAGATGTTTCTTTGCTCCACTGGACAAAGGAACTCGCACTCCACAGTTCCTCACTGTTCACACCTGGGGACGACAATTCCCCCCACGGACCTTACTGGCCAGCCAGTGTGGGTCAGCGTGTGACATGTGACCCCCAAGGGTGTCACCAAACAGCAGCTCCTGCTCTCTCCTCTCAGCTCTTCAAAGGGCAACAAGGCCCCGGCCCAGGTCAGCTCTGCTACCTGAGAAACCAGCTCCCTTGCCGGCCTGCTCACAGCAGCCTGCAAACACTCTTCTCCCCAACAGCAGCGACCTGCTTCGGATTAACTCAGAGTGAACCAAGTTCTCTTCAGAATCAGCAGCTACGACACAAGGCCAGCTGATTTTCCAAGCAACAGGAGTCATAGCAGAGTTAGCGTGGAACAGCTAACTCTGTGAGGAGAACAAAGGAGATAACAGCAAAGCAACACAGCCAGACAGGCCTTTACTCCACCAGGAAGCCTCCTAACTCACTGGACTTGGCAACAACACTGGAAAGGACCTCTTTGTTTGTTCCAAGGACTGGGTAATGTTAACTGACTGGGCCTAACCTTTCCCAGCACAGCATAGCACAGCATAGCTAAGCAGCAGAAGTCTTAACTTTGTTAATGTACTTGTTGATTGATGTCTTGTTGTTGTAATGTTTGCTTAGGTTGTGGTCAGTCATACAATTAATCGGGTACTCGTATGTTCACACACATAGTAGTACGTCTCAGTTCTAGAACCTGCATGAAGCTAACCTCCTCTGACCTGGTACCTTTAGATTACATGAGCTAGGCTAACAAAGAAACTCACACCTTCCCTCCCACACACACACCAGGTGGTCTCAGCGGCCATTTTGAGTAGTTTCTTTGTTTACCGCCATCTTGTGTAGTCTTCTTTGTTCAGGTCATGTGGTCAC